AGATCTCTCAGTTTTCCTTTTTTAATAGTTTTTTTTTTTTTTTTTTGCATGCTTTGGAAAGAAACCGTTCAATTCAACTTTTAAAAAGGGGATAATCATAACATTCTGTCCAGATGCATGGGTGAAATATCATATAATCATGTCAGTATTGCTATTTGCATATGAATGTTACCACTAAAACTGCCAGTAAACAATGTGAGTGATTATCATAAAGATGATTGCCATGTATTGTCATCTTTTCAGCGGGTACATTTTTCATTGGTTTATAGTGGATGGTGTGTTTTCTTGATTTTCCTGCAGAGGGTGCTGTTCTACTGTGAATTCTGTTTTGCTGTCATTGTTTGCTTTGGTCTGTGTTGGTGGGAAGGGGAAAACCTACAGAAGATGAACTTGAAAACAATTATGTGCATAGACTGTGCAGTGTAGCATGGTAGGATTTCACTGGAATATGTGTGGAATTCATAGGAATATGCATGATGGTAGAATCAAATTCCAGTTTGTCTCATCTCAGATAAAACTGAGTTTTATCTGAGATTAGTTTTTTGTGATTCAGCGGCATGATACAAATAGCTCTCAGCACAATATCCCCCCTGAAACGAATAACAAATTAATTAATAAAGCACGTACAGTGTAGGTGGTAGAAGTGAGGTAGAAAGGTAAAGAGACAAGAAGCTTCATTATCATTATGTTGCAGTACAATGAAATTTGTACAGCAATTTTAAAATGATCACAACAGAATAACAATAAAAGCGCCGTTTTAAGACAGTAAAACAGGCAGTGTTAGAACAGATAGAGAAACCTGGATGATATATAATTTAAAGTGATCGTAACGGTACAGTGATGAAGGCAATTGGATTCATGTCTTTCTAGCTGGGTGTGGTTAGGAACATGAAAACCAGAAACACTGGACAAGCAAATGGCAGTAGCCATAAAAGAATACCCAGAGGGCTCATTTGTGCATTTGGCAGAGCTGAGCCTGTGGCTGAGGGTGCTCCTCAGCTGGTCTAGAGGTTGGATCTCATTATTGAGAATTGAGTTTAGTATGGGATCCTACCATTTACATGTATATTTATTTTTATTTAGCAGGCACTTTTGCAGCAGACGTACTAGTCCACTCAAGGAGCTCATTGAAACAGAACTGGCTTTTCTCAAGAACGGCCTGCTTTGCACTTTTTTGTAGACTCCTGCATGTCATTGATGCAGTCACAAAACTACATATTGCATTATACCATTTCAACACTCTCTCCTTGTGTGGTGAAAGCTGTCTGTAGTTCCCTGCTCTGTCTGAAGTTGACCACCGGCTCTTTTGTCTTTCTGACACTGAGATGCAGGTAGTACTTCTTATACTCTTGTTCCTTCACTGATGCATCCCAAAATTGGAGAACACTGAATATGGCGAGAATTGTATCTAAAGTCAGAGATGTAAAGTGTAAATTGGAGTGATAACATCACTTGGAGTGCCTCCATGTTGCTCAGCAGAACATTAAATATCAAGTTACTGATGTGGAGGAACTGTGATCTAGGCATCAAAGGCTTCCTCAACTTGTATCATATCGAGCTTCTTCCTTACCAGACAGGGCTGGAATAAACACAGACACTAAATAAGAGAATCTTCATGATGTTGCTCAGCTTGTCTGGGTGTGAGTAGGGGTGCCATCCCCACCTAAGTGTGCCTCGTATGTATACTGTAGTGCAGGGGTCACCAACCTTTTTGAAACTGAGAGCTACTTCACAGGTACTGAGCCATATGAAGGGGTACCAGTTTGAAACGCGCTCCTAAACTTCATGTATAATAAACTTGTTTTAAATGCTTTTTTTTAGATATTGTCATAGGATAAAATTAAATTTTAGACGCTGCTCACTGGTGAGCTATTTTTAGAACAGGTCCGCGGGCGACTCATGTGGTCCTTGGGGGCATCGTGGTGCCCATGGGCACCATGTTGGTGACCCCTGCTGCAGTGGATCTACTGTAGGAAGTCCTTCACAGGTGGACTCAAGCTGGTGGGCCTTCTTTTTTGTGGTCATAGGGACAGGTTAATCTTTTCCACCCTTGAATGCACGTTTTTAAACTCATCCCTCATCTCTTTTCAGATCTGAGTGGAAGATATGGGTAGATGTGGGATAAAGGTAGAGGCTTATAAGGGAGGGTCAGGACGGTCTTGTCACAGGGGAGGGTTGACCAAGACAGATGTGACTCCATTGAGGTCCTTCTCCCAGGCTGAAGGGCAGCTATGTCAGACCTGTTTGAGGACTTGTCTGCCCCCACCTGATTTCTGACTTCACTTAGACCATCCACCTTGCTGCAGCCAGGTGATCTTCCTCACCTCCTTCCTTACCTCTGTCATAGTGTTATTCTCCAGTCCGTATTCAGTATATTCATCTGCTTTGGATTAAAGTCATTGGGTTGGGATCAAAGGTTGAGGGTCTGATTGCAGTAGCCCCCCTCCCCACACACACACACAAACCTCCCCACTCACTACGGCAGATACGTTCACTCACTGGACTATGGAGATACTTCATCTTCCCTGACAGTCTGACCACTGCTGCCTGTTCTGATGCGTTCAGCAAGCCTTCATTCTATCATAAATAAATCAGAGAAATGACTTTCCTCTCTTCAGCTCAGTTTATCGAACCTGGTGTATTGAGCTCTATGAAAATAGGAGATGGTATGCATGGTGTGGGGCTGTGTGAGTGAATGGCTCCCTGCATGGGTGTGTGGGAGTCTGTTCGCTTGTTGCGAATCTTTGTGGGGCTGGAGGGGTCTCTGTAACTCCCTTTGAGCCCAGTGGAAACTGCGGGAAAAATGCACCTCTGATTCACTGCTAGCCTAAAACCTTGGATAGTCCACTCATGGTCCCATACCTATGCTCTTATCTCCCGTCCCTGATGTGGGTGTGATATTACCTCATGATGGGTTTTGGTATGTTAACTCCTATCTCCCCAAGATAAAGGCGTAGAGCAGGGCTTCGCCGCTGTGCTAGATAAGTGGTTCGCTCCAGCAGCCTGCCGCTGCTCCTCGTGATAGCGAATGTGATGAGAAGAGGGAGAGACCTCAGGGGTGTCAGCAGGAGGGTTAGGGGTAGCACCATGGTGTGTGTGTGTTCATGTGTGCGTCTTTGTGTAAGTATCCTAATTCATTCTGTGTGATCAGTTTCTCTCTCTGGGTGTATGATGGACGCCTTGTCTGCTCAAATGACCTTTCCTGTGGAAGTTGCACAGATCAGCATTTATTAACATTCTCTTGATGCTCTTACCTATCAGTCAGTGTTCTGGACACATTGCTGAGGCCCTGTTCAATTATTGAGTGTGGCGACGCATATGTGGGCATTAACAAAGTGACTCCTTCTACTGGTACCGGCCCTGTACGTGAATCTACCAGTACGTGCTATTGTTTACATATCAGGTCATGTGACTAGCCCTAACAAAACATGGGAAAATCCAAAAGAATCACATTCCACAAGAAGTTTGTTGCAATCTGGGTGTGATGTCAAATTTGCAACTAACCTCTTGGCCACACCAACACCTCTTCCAGCAACAATCCAACATTTCAAGCTGGTCTCCCATCCAAGTTCTGGCCAGACCCAAACCTGCTTAGCATCAGATGGATTTCGTCATCTGAACCTCAGGTGGTACAGCTGCTGACTCTCTGGGTGGAGTTTAAGCATGGGTTGTAGGAGTGGCAGTGGTATACAAGTGCCATCTAGCTACTTTAAAGTCACTGATGTGTAGGCTGAGATGTGCACTCCTGTCTTCGTGTATAGAGCACAGGCACACACACCTGGAGTAGATAAAGGACCTTTCATGTCCCTGGGGCTGTACTGAGGTCAGTGTGCGCTGGTGAGTCAAATGAGTTTACAAGGAAGGAGCAAAGCTACGGAAGAAATAAAGTGAAATTGTACACTCTGCCTCTGAGTGCCAGGTGCTGCAGAGGAAAGGACTTTTATCATAACCTTTATTTATGCCTATACCACCACTCTTTTACAGACCTGCTGTAAGTTGTTGCTACTTTTAGGGAAAGAAAAGAGACTTGTGCTTTTTTTGGATTATAATGTGTGGGTAAGCAAGTTACTGATAAGAGAATAAAAAAAGAATAAAAAAAGTTTACCCAACACACCAGTCTTTCTGCAGGTCTCTCCTTAAAGCAGAAGTTGCTAGCTTCTGGGCTGCTTTCCTTACTCATTTTCTTACATGCAAGTGACATGTGAGGTGATGTTTTTGGAAAATTATCAAAGGAAACAATGGATATGTAGTAAAAATTGACAATGTATAGCTCTCTAGCCAGGCTGTGACAGTGTACAGTTTTGTAGAGATGATTAATTTCAACTTAATATCCTGGTGTATTTTAGTACTAGACAGCCAAAATGCTCATAAAGAAATCTAAGAATGTTAGTTTTTCTGTCCATGCATGTCATTTTGCCTTGCATTCTCCTATTTTAGGTTTGTCTTAGCCAGGATTTTGCTTGCTATTTGCACTCCACTGCTGGGAGAGCTGCCTTTATTCTGTGCAGGATTTTGAATGAAATAGGGTCATTCTTACTGAGTTGCTGAATCTTATAATTTGGAGTATTGGAGTGATCATTATGTAATTGAGGTTTATGAAATGACAGTGCATACAAACACATATGCAAACGATACCTATGATCCCAGCATGCTGGTGTGCTTGTCAGCTCCCCAGCTCACAGTGAGCCGCGTTTGAGCGCAATCTCCCTTTTCTGCTCGCCACCAGGTGTAATCCCTTATAAAAGCACCTGCAATTTATTGCCCTCTGGGAACACAGAGTCCCTGAGGGCAAAAATCAATGAGATGATCGTGAAGAATTCAGGATGGTGTTTTTGTTCTGTCAGCAAGGAAACACCCTAGCTAATTGTGTAATGGTAGGGAACAAGTTCTGGGTAATATTCCCCTTTATCTGCTCCAGATCAATGTTCTACAAAACCGTAGCTTAACCCCTCCTGCACTATACTTGATCAGAATCTCATTGGACTCTCCTTTTATTCTAGTGCTACCAGCTGTTGGCTCCCTAGTCCCTTAATCAGGAAGAATGTGGGTTTCCCCAGCCATAGCTATTACTTTAGTGGGTCGTGAAGGGAGGAGCATGGAGAACATGTGTGGAAGTCCAGGAGTATCGAATAAAAGAAACATGTAACAATTCATTCAGTAAGTACTCTGATACTCCTGCTCTGTCTGATTAGCTACAGTCACCATCCTCTTGGATTTAGTCTGCAGGCTACCATGAATTTCAGATTATTAATAGAAAAAAATTAAAATAGTAGTAATACATGAGCATGCTAAACTTTGTAGCCATCCATTTTCCACAGCTGCTTATCTGATGTGAGGTCACGGTGAGCTTGGAGACTATCCCACAAAGCTCCGGGTACCCTGGATGCCATCCTGTCACCATCGCTGATCAGGTACTTAGTTCACACAAGCAGAGCATGTTGTTTTAGAACTGTAGGCGGAAAACATGTGAACATGTAAACTCTTCTTACATACACAGATCCAGGGAAAGAACTTGAACCTCAGCCTAAACTCTTGTTACTACCAATATTAAAATTGATAGAAAGTGCATAATCGCTACAGACATGGATAATAAGCATGTTTAATAGCAAACCCTTCTCTAACACAAGTGGATGCTTGGCAACAAGTTTGTCAGGGTGAAGGACCTCAATTAGAGTGGCGGGGAAGACCTGTCTGAGAGGTATGTTGGCCCCTTGGATTAAAGCATGCTGTATTTCAGCAAGCAGATGGGGAGGGGTGCAGCTTTTTAAATGGGGTCTCATAGCGCCTTAGGGACCGGCACCCCTGACAATCACTTGTTCATTGATTTATTAGATAGCTGAGGAAATTAATTTCATTCCGAAATGCACAAAAGGAAATTAGATGGAGAGACACTATGCTGCTGCTTCCCCTCATTGTCGCTGCAGAGGTGCTGATAACCTGTGATCGCCTTGCTTTTTATTCATAAATAAAGGAGAGAGAAAAAATGTGCCAGAGTTGTAATTAACTTTGCTATCTGCTGATTCTAAAGCTTGTCTTAATCACCTAATAACAGTCCCTTAAAATCACTTCCCCTGCCTTTATGCTTGAGTGTGTGCTGTTCTGACTCGTTCAGGACATGCACAGCACAAAGTGCAGATATTTTCAAACACAACCTTCAAAGTGACTCAATCTGACAAGCATTCCCCGCTCTTTTATTCTACTCATTATAATACCATGTCAAATTATAGACAAGATTGGTTTCTCACAGTACTTAAAGTCCAGTGAAGCCATCTGAGGAAATGGCTTTATTAATGATTGACTGATTTGAACCAATCAAATGGCTCTGTAGTGAATTTTGACATGCTCTGATTGGTTGGAGTATGTCAAGCTTTAATGATACAATTTGCTCACATGGTTACACTTTGGCCTGGTGTTCTTCGAAGCCCCATTTGCCTATTGCTGAAGGAGCATGCCTGTGTTAAATACTTTGTGACGAGACGGCCGGAGTCTAGATGTGCAGACATTCAGAAGCATAACAACGAGGTTTTGCTTTGCAATTAAATCAGCATCTCTTTATTATAGGTTGTGCTTATGAACTATGACAGTGATTAAACAGTAGTGGCACTTGCATCTTTGGACATGCCTGGATGATACTGGAGTATCCAAAGGAAACCCACACAATACCGGTAGAAAATGTAAACTCCACACATGCAAAGTGGGTTTTGAACCTTTAACCGTGGAGGTGTCAAGCAGTGGTGCTGTCCACTGAGTCATCATGTGTCCCCAGAATGCAAAATCCCAATTCATAATACTCATGAATGCCCTCTTTCTGACCCATAGACTTCATGTACACTTAAAAAGTTATAAGTGTGGTACAGTAACACATCTGGGAAAGGCTATTATGTGTAAGATGAAGACCTAGAGGACAGCAATCTCTTCAGATGTCTTCCTGCTTCTCTAAGTTTTATGGACAGGCAGTAAGGCAGTCGCTGAAATGGGACTACTGGCCTACTTCAACAGGCTGATCAGATATTCATAATTCAGCCTGTTTCAGTGCTTGGCAAGGGCAAGCCTCTTATTGAATTTAAGTAAATAAATGGTCAGGTGAGGCTTCCTTGACATTCTGCATTTTCTTCTCTGCATCCACGTACCCATTTGCTTTTAATAATGCACTCCCCCTGTGTACATTCATGCACAGAAAAATCCTGCCCTGTAACACACTGTATTGTTTTCATGCAGGGCTATTTTATCTTCCAGCCGCTTCTTTTCTTTTCCATCCATTCCAGCTGTGGCTTCCAATTATTCATTATTATTCTAGAACACGTAAATTGGTAGAATCAATTACCAGAACTTTTTCTAGAACAGAGAGAAAAATTCAGGGTGAAAGGACTGGGGCAGCCGGGGAAGGGAAGGGGCGTGGGGGGTTGTTCCATTGTGGCTCAGATGAGGGGAAATTATATTTATTTTTTCTAGTGGTGCTGCCTTCATTTATACATGGCTGTGAATATTTGCAATCGGAGCTCTTCCTCCTGGCTTTCCCTGCAGATCCCCATGTGCTTTCAGGAGTCAGCATAATACTACCCCCAAATATTTAACCAGCACTGGATGTCAATAAAGCCTTCGGACGACACCTCCATCCATACATATTTTGCTATTGATACATTTGTCCGGTCTTTCCCTCCCAATTTCATGAGTAAACGTAATTTTATTATCCATCCGTCTGTCCAACTGACTGTCTTGCACAACATGGTCCTGTTTCTTATTCTTATTAATAGTGGTGGTGATGGTAATGGTGCTGCAGGTCTTTTTCCCTTTGATTTACAGCAAAGGTCATGTTTGGAAACAGAAGTATCTCTGTCACATGATGGTAGAATGGCTTTCATTGGGCCATTTTTTTGTTTTTTTGTTTCCCCTTTGTATTCTCTCTGTCCTTTTAAGGTCTGACTCTCACGACACCTTAGCTATTGGGTATAAAGTTCTACCACTGGGGTCAATCTGTCAGTCAGTCTGCCAGACAGCCAGACTCCCCATCTGCCTGTCCTTCCATTCCTAGTATAGCATGCATGCATTTGTTTTATTTTTTAAAGTTTTTTTTTCCTGTTTGTGTTCCTGAGCTTTATCTATTGCCAAAGCGATTCTGGGAGGTAAAACCTGTCTAACAGACTGAATTAGAGGGCTTGAGAAAAACAAAAGCATGATTCACTGTGCACTTTGACCTCATCTGGTCAAAAACATTTCAAATGCTGCAATATTTCTAAGTAGGCAACATTTTAGCCTGCTATGGAAAATGATTGACTTTTTTGAGACCCATTAGAAAAATTGCAAAACAGAACAACCTGTCTGTACATGTTAATTGTTTTATTGAATGACCCCCTAAGGCTGGTCCTTTGACTCCCTTCCAGTCTATACCTGTTTTATTGCAGGGTTGCTCTTGGGTTTCCCCACTTCAGTGGTGCTTGTTACCTGTGGCAGTACCTTAGCTCCGACTGTAGGTGGAGTGCCATACTCAGTTTGCCAGGGCCCTTGCATGATTTACATCAGCACTCTCAGCAGCGACATAACTACCACCCCACATGCACACACACTCCGTGCCGGTGCAGCCGCCTCCCATTCGCCACCCCCATTCAATCTTGGATGCACGTTAACTGAGGTGGCGGTTCTAACAAGCTGCCAAGCGCTGTTCAGCCCAAATGAACCAAATCAAAATGAAAGAGGAGGCAGACAGGAAGGGAAATGAGCGCCCCCTGTAGTCAGTCGCAGCTGTGCTGAATATTAAATGAATTATTGTGGCTTGACGTGTGAGCCCTGGGACAGCTTAACTGCAGGCACAGTACCTTTCTTAGTTATTTTATTTATAACACACAATGCAATGCCTCACCTCTGAGCTTAACATGGTGCCGTGTTTAATTACAGGTGCACTCAGGCTCTGTGCCATCTGACCATACCAGTATGAGCCTATGGGATGTACCTCATAAGTGATTACATGCCCTTTCTAACTGCAGACCTGCTGCTTATACATTTTGTCCATTCTGAGAAGACAGGGCTTCTCTTTTTGGCTTTGTACTGAGCTTCTTAGAGCGTTGATGAATTTCCCTCTCAGAAGTCCCTCACTCTGTCTTGTCCTGCTCTTTGGCTTCGCGTCCGTCTATCTTTCTCAGCCAATCTCCTCCTGGGTCTCGTTTCTGTCAATCTGACCCTGGGGCTTTGTGTTACTCTACTGCTGCAAGGTTTCCCTGGAAAAGTCGCCAGCATCTGGACTGTTAGGAGGAAGTACGCTAGCACTGTATCTGTACACACACTGTTCCCATGCTGTTTCCTGCTTTATTTCCAAAAGTATTCCCTTCACGCACTAATACTGCTTCTGGAAAAAAATGACTATAATATGACAGTAGGAATATAGTTGTCAGAAATAAAAACAATTGCCACTGAATCATGGTTGTCTAAGTAGACACGAAATGTAATAAAATTATGTGCAATATGTATCTAAGAAATTGCCAATTCAGTTGACTACGTTTCCAGTCTGTATTTATATATTTTCAGGTTTTCCATGATGTCACCATTGTGTGATTTTTGCCCCCTTATTTTGTAAAAAGAAATGCTAATCTTTTTTTCATTATTCAGTATAATGAAGTGTATTGGAAATAAACTTATTTAACGGTTATTTAGGCTTATTTGATAGTGCTCTGGAACCAATTTTTACACATTTTCTTGGCTTGATAAGTTTCATGTATGTGTATATATTCTCAGATTTTATTTGTATTGTGTTGTTTGGTGAAACTGGATGAAACAAAATAACTGGTGCAGTGTGGTGTATTTTACATGACATGAATGAAATATCATGTTTAAAAATTAGCTACATGTTTTTAATCTAAACTTGTTTTTTTTTTTTAGGTTAAGAACATGTAATTTTTAGTCATTTTTGAGTCTGCTTATTTGAAAAGTGACCATTATTTAGAGATAAATGACATAGACTTGTCAGATTCCGTACATTACGTTCTCGTGTTGGTTACTGATGGTGGTTTTTGCATGTTTGCTTATTACAGTTTTGAAATAATTATGATCCTTCCCAGTGATGATTAATGCAGATGAATGCTTCTCCAAATGTATTTTTACAAGAACCTTAGCCATTTAGAGGCATCTGGGGTCCTGAAAGTAAATTTCTTTATTTTTGTAAAAGTTATTCCATTGGTTTTGGAGGGTGAAGTCACTCAAAGCTGATGCAAACCATCCAGGGAAGCATGTGAAAATGAGGGCCAGCCGACTGTCAGACCCAGCTGGTGATGCCCCATTTTGCAAACATTGAGGTGTTCCCCTTTTTGTATGTCCCACAACACGCACATGTGCACACACATACACACACGCACACACACACACAGACATCCACACACACAGACATGCATGCACACGCGTACACACACACACACACACACACACACACACACACACACACACACACACACAC